ACGCTTTGGCATACGGTTTATCACGGAAACGTTGCAACATCGGCAGACAAAGAATTGTATTACACTGTAAGTTAAAAACATCCCTGGAAAACATTTACGATCAGTTGTAGAACATACTGTTCATCGCATTCAAATTTTATATTTGAAGAACGCGACACACATTGAGTAACATTACTGACAGCAGTAAATAGCCTCTGCAGATGGCATGTCCCTTACCTTACGGAACAAATAAATGCATTTTTGGTTGTTTTTAGTGTATTTTTCCTTTAATGTGCCCCCAACGGAAATTTCTGAACTAAAAATCTTTTTTGCAAAATCTCTTACCACATCCTTTCTATATGTATACAAATTTTGGTGTCAATCTGCTTATTGGTTACAGCTCTGAATAGAGAAACTTTAATTATGACCACCTTCTACTTCACGTCGAATTCTATTCGTTTCACATTCAAGAAATTATTTTTCAGATGTTAATCATGATCTTCGCTCAAGTTTCTAATAATCTTTCATTATTTCTCTATCGAAACGTCTTGAGTGTACTGATGACAAGTATTTCAGAAGAGAAACGCAATGATTCTGATTTGAATAATGAACTCGTAACAAAAATTCTCCAAAATGAAGATAGACAGCTGTAGACAATAAGATTATAGAGTTAAAAATTCCGATCAGGAGGAAGATTTTTAAGTAGTTAATGCTCGGAAAATAGAATGTGATGTGTTTAAATTAAATATTTAGTCATACTTCAACTTTGATATGTTTTACAAAATTATTTTTGAATAAAAGTGATTTAACATAAAATAAATCAATGGGAAACAAACGTGACTTAGGTTTTTGTTTCTATTAATTTTTATCCACGAGGTGAAAAGAAACATTACATATAAAGAAGAAAAACCAAAGAATTTAATTACTTTATATATCACCTGAAGTTCTTAATAATAATCACTTAACACCAAGTTTGAAAAAAAAGAGAAAAATTAAAAAGGGTTAATGTAGTCTTACCAATACTAAGTTTTTCAGTTTGCCTCTCATTTATTAATCCAGTCCTTCAATGATTTATTCTTGACTAAAAGACTGAACTAAATATGTCATTTACAATACGATATACCGTTTTATTTATATTTTTCTATTTGAATTGGTAAATTCGTCTATAACCTCTCTTCACTAGACTTTAACGCAAATTTCATATCAAATTGGGAAAAGCATCTATAAGAATGCATTATATTTTGTCTTTGTGCAGAATAAAATCAAACTAGAGTCGATAAGACATCAGTTCGTTAGTATTAATATATTTTGCAAGACGAATGGTAATACTGGTAGTTTTCAATAGCAATGCCCTTTGCCCTTTCAATATTCAAAGATCTAGGCCCAACCTGCATATCGACGCGGGATCGAGTCTGGACGGGTCGAAAAATCCCCAGAAAGTTTTCGGGGCGATCCGACAGGATATGTTGGCCCATCCCTCACTACCGGCTGCACCATTGTGGGCCTGGCCGAACCCATAATGGGCTTGCTAAATGAGGCCATCTTAGTGCCCACAGGATGGAAAGTTTAATTTAAAAAAATCCTCATCCCCTCGACCTTTAACAACCAGAATTTAATAGCATCAATTCCCTTAACAACCAAACCTCCCTGAAAAATTTCAGAAATTTTCGACAAAAAGCACAGGAGATAAGCTTCAAACAGGGTGAACAAAATCATGCCTCCTCATACAAACCAAGATAATTTATGTATGGATGTTTTTGCATTTCTCAACGTTTTAAGGTGTCAAGTCCAAAGTGTAAAAATCTGGGAAGGGCATTTTTTGCCGGATCGCCACACTTTCCGTTATAACAGCCGGAAAAATAAAAATTTGTCTATTCCTCATCTCTTTTGTCGCCTTGTTGACCACCGCTCACTCGCAGTCACCGGTCCTACTGGCTCACAATTCAGTGAACTTGTTACAAAATTTCAATTACGCAAAGTTTTCCGACTTACTATATAAAGTACAAAATTTCCCTAAAATTTAGAACTAGATATCTCCGAATATCAGTTTCCTAATCAGTTTTAAAAAAAATAGTTAATACTGTACTCCAAACTGAAAATTAGTATTAAATAATTAAATTTTATACACGCGTATAAAATTTACATACAATATATGCATTTTACATATACGAACGTACAGTATTTTTTCAAAATAAAGTTTTTCACAGGATACAAATTTTATCAATACTCAGCAATAATTAAACTGTTGAAAACAAAAATCGACGCCATAGTGCAAGTAACGAAATTCTAGTTAGTAGGATAATAAAAAAATTTCATTAATTAGATCTCGCCTTATGGCTAAATAGCAAGATGAAAATGTCTGGCTAGTGACGTGTGTACCCGTGTCCCTAGCCCGGTCTTGGCTATAAGTACGGATAGGCTGGCCTAGTATGTTTTTAAAAAATATTGCGATTTCAAGTTTAATTTCCCTCGGTGTTATTTTTACCAATTTATTCTTTGTATGGTCCTTTTAGGTGCCACTCTCGACTATTACACCTGTCTTGTGTGGATGGTGGCTGATAAACATCCACCCTGGTATTGAAGTTTACGGTGTGAGTGGAGTTTCAAACTTAAAAAGCTACATTTAAAAATTTCATTAATGTATTCTTGTGATGTAATATTGTAAAGAACAATTGTAAAAAAAATCAGAAAATAGCAGACCAGTTTAGCAATTGATGTCTGAGTGTTTTACAACCAATAGGCAACATTTATGATGAAATTTCATCCTTGTGCTGTGATATTTTAATAAAATTTTATTTTTCACCATCATTCCATGTGCCAAATTTGATTACTATGAAAAAGCTTTAAGGGCAAAGCTTTTGCAACAGTATATTTTGTAATATGTAAAAGCAGTGACTGCCAAATTCAAGTGGTTTGTTGCCCGTAATCAAGTAAAATCATTCTGATTAAGATAAAATTTGACACTACAAAAAAGGTACTGTATCTTTTCTAATAATTCCTTAAAATTTATAATTTAATTGATTAGAAATGATTGTATAATGTCATTTCAATAATTCCTGTATCAAGTGAGGCACTATCAATTATGACAATTGAATTGTCTTCAAAAGATTAATTCATTTCTGATTATTCATTGCTAAAATTGCAAGTAATCAGTTTTGTTAATATAAAAATGCATCGTAATGAAATGCTGATTTTAATCTTACAAATTTACTATACAAATGATCAAATGATTTTGTATTAAAATTAAAACATTCAAGAGAAGAAATTTTATTTCCATTTCATTTCTAATAAAATTACATACTGCTTCATATAAATTGAGCTTTTCTTAGAATATGGTCTAAAAACTATACACAAAGATTTAAAATCACTAACCTAAAGTCATATTAGCTATATTAAATTTAATATTTCTAATTTTCTTTTTACTCTCACGTTAACAGTTGCTATACTAACAAACATCTGTTTTTATAATTGTACTATTTATCAATGGCTATATTTTAGCAACACTTGTGACCAGAACCTCAAATTATAAATTTCTATTTTCATAAAAATGATATTAGGATTCTACTTGTTACGTTTTCAAGACTGCAAACTTTACTTTGAATTATCAAACTGTATTCAAGTTACATAAAATTTACAAAAAATAACTTATAAAATATGAGTAATATTTTTTCCCAAAAATGTAACAGAAATAATTATATGTATATATTTACAAAAATAGTTTGACTGGAAGTAAGAAAAGAGTTTTCCCATTTGTATATATTATAGTGAAATATCAAAATCAAAAGAAATGAGATTTTTTTTGTAAGATGACTTTTAATCTTGAAAACCTATAAATTCAAAATAAACATATTAGAAAGGTTTACAAAATTAAATCTTAAGTCTAGTCTGAAAAAAAACAAAAAAAACTTACTCATATTTAAGTCATTGGCTGATATCTAATGGCATTGGAACGTTTTGCTAGGCAACAAGTCAATATGGCACCAAGTAGCTAACATATTTTAATGTGAATTAGTGGTTTAAGAAAAATACTTAAAAGTGACAAAATGTTTTGAAGTACATACCTGAATGCAAGCAAATGAAACAGCAACTCCAGCAATAATTCCCATTTTATTATGTATATCATTTATTAATACAGGGTAACATCCCTATATAATTAAAAGAATTTTTAAAATTCACTTATAGAATCTCATCATCATCAACAATACTTACTTCCGTATATATCTGAGTTTTATTAGCTGGATTATTTTGGCAATTATCAAACTTGCAACAACTTTTTGGAACTTTTTTGGAACCATTTGCCCAAGTGGTAAAAAACCAGTCTTCATAATTTTCAACACCACAGCATTTAATCTGAAAATATTTGTGTTATAAACAAATTTTTAAAATATGTTGGAATGTTAAAATGCGTGCATTTATAATACAAGAGAAAGAAGAAAAACCAAAGAATTTAATTACTTTATATATCACCTGAAGTTCTTAATAATAATCACTTAACACCAAGTTTGAAAAAAAAGAGAAAAATTAAAAAGGGTTAATGTAGTCTTACCAATACTAAGTTTTTCAGTTTGCCTCTCATTTATTAATCCAGTCCTTCAATGATTTATTCTTGACTAAAAGACTGAACTAAATATGTCATTTACAATACGATATACCGTTTTATTTATATTTTTCTATTTGAATTGGTAAATTCGTCTATAACCTCTCTTCACTAGACTTTAACGCAAATTTCATATCAAATTGGGAAAAGCATCTATAAGAATGCATTATATTTTGTCTTTGTGCAGAATAAAATCAAACTAGAGTCGATAAGACATCAGTTCGTTAGTATTAATATATTTTGCAAGACGAATGGTAATACTGGTAGTTTTCAATAGCAATGCCCTTTGCCCTTTCAATATTCAAAGATCTAGGCCCAACCTGCATATCGACGCGGGATCGAGTCTGGACGGGTCGAAAAATCCCCAGAAAGTTTTCGGGGCGATCCGACAGGATATGTTGGCCCATCCCTCACTACCGGCTGCACCATTGTGGGCCTGGCCGAACCCATAATGGGCTTGCTAAATGAGGCCATCTTAGTGCCCACAGGATGGAAAGTTTAATTTAAAAAAATCCTCATCCCCTCGACCTTTAACAACCAGAATTTAATAGCATCAATTCCCTTAACAACCAAACCTCCCTGAAAAATTTCAGAAATTTTCGACAAAAAGCACAGGAGATAAGCTTCAAACAGGGTGAACAAAATCATGCCTCCTCATACAAACCAAGATAATTTATGTATGGATGTTTTTGCATTTCTCAACGTTTTAAGGTGTCAAGTCCAAAGTGTAAAAATCTGGGAAGGGCATTTTTTGCCGGATCGCCACACTTTCCGTTATAACAGCCGGAAAAATAAAAATTTGTCTATTCCTCATCTCTTTTGTCGCCTTGTTGACCACCGCTCACTCGCAGTCACCGGTCCTACTGGCTCACAATTCAGTGAACTTGTTACAAAATTTCAATTACGCAAAGTTTTCCGANTGCAACGAAGAAAAATTTAAACATGGGATATTGTATATCCCAATAATAGTATATTAATAATATACTATATTAATAATGTATTTTTCGTACATAATCAGTTATCTGAAAAATCAATTTTCCGAACAACCCCAGTCCCTAATTGTTTCTGATAAAATCAACACTTTAAATTTATTGATTTATAATACAGTAAAGAGAATATTAGTTTAATCTTTGTAATTATAGAAATGTTCTCCAGAAATATTCTAATTGGTTGAATTAGGATTCAAATCTATCATGCTAACCAAAATTTCAGGCATTAGAAAATATTAGACATTGATATCATTTGAAGTGTAAATCGTGATTCTTATCAATAATACAAAGTCTTACCTCACTCTTATAAACTTATCCTGTAATAATAATAAAAGAAATACAATTTACTACATTTACACATTATGTTGACTTAATCTGACTAGATGAAATTTGTGGAAAAATTTATATCTGTGCATTAACAGCTGAAATACCTAATATTGTGGATGTATTTATTTTAATAGTATGCATGTTGATCAGCTACATTGTTAATAGAATACATTTCATTTAGAGCCAAAATGTGTGACACATAGTAACTTAGATTTAAGTCATTCCATAGATATATGGTTTATGTATTGGGGTTTATACAAAGTGTCTTTTAGTCAAGCAAATCTGCTACTAGAATTGGTCCATTTTTACCAACCCGTTTTTGGTTATGTACTTAATATTAAGCTCTTGTCCTACATTATAGGATTATCTTGTAATGCAAGATCTTATTTTGTAATAATTCTCCTACTTCATGGTATTTCTTTGCATATCATTAATTATTGTTTATTTTCTTTTCAGAAAATACATTTGAATACACTGACAATAAAAGTTTAGAATTATGTAACAAGCAATCCATATAAAATAGCTAAGACTAATTAAATCTAGTGTTTTTTTAATACTTGAAACAGTTGAAACATTTTACAAAAATCTCAAACAACATTGATCAGTATGCTGAAAGGTCTTAATTATTAATCAAGTAACTAATACCTTATTTGTTGCCAAGGGAGTTTATTAAAAACTAATGTTTTTGATCTACTCCATAGATCATCTTCAGGTTGAAACATTCGAATTTGGAATAACAAAGAATAAAACAAATTCAAATTTAAAGTTAGATAAATACCGACAAAGTAGCAACTAATTAAAATAAAAATTAAAGCGTGAAAATACATAATTGTATGTTATTTATTTTTACATTTATATATTTTCACGCTTTAATTTTTATTTTAATTAGTTGCTACTTTGTCGGTATTTATCTACCTTTAAATTTGAATTTGGTTTATTCTTTGTTATTCCAAATTCGAATGTTTCAACCTGAAGATGATCTATGGAGTAGATAGAAAACATTAGTTTTTAATAAACTCCCTTGGCAACGAATAAGATGTTAGTTACTTGATTGATTATTTTGCTGAGTACGTTTCTGTTCAGTCTTAATTATTACTAAGAGCAGTGATTAGTAATTACTTATTGCTAAACATGACCATTATTTCTATATTGTAAATAAGCTATCAAATTATTAAAAAAAGTCAAAAAATTTCAGAAAATACAAAAAGAAAATACCTGCTTAAATTGTTCTGCTACATACTTTTAAAAAAATCAAAGTGGCCATTTTGGAATTTGAAAACTTTTCTTAATTTATAAAAATCAAAATACNCTGTATCATTTCAAAAACTATGCATGGTAAAATAATTTCATTAAAAACTTTAAAAATTAAAAAGTTGACTTTTTAATTGCAAACTACAGTAGCAAACTACGTTGATTAACCGAAAGCATTCCAGTCGGACTATGTCATGCTGAATCGAACGGTTTTGGTACTAGATTTACTTCTAAAGCAGTGTTTTTCAACCTTTTTGAATACGCGACCCCTTTACAAGTTAAAAAATTCTGGCGACCCCCTAGGGCCATATTAAAACTGTATCAGTGATTTTAAAAATTATGTATTTAATTTTCTTTCTATTGAAAGAAATTATTGTTGCTTAAAATAAGAATTTAAGAAGAATCGACAATAACCTAAGACACGTATAGTATGATACTTCCTTTTCATAATAACATTGGGTTCGGAGTGCTGTTGACTTTTATTTTTAGGATGGGAGTTTTCAACTTTTACTTCTGTACTTATTACTTCTTTTTGCAAGACAGCTCAACACTTTCTCAGCTATCATTTTCTAGGGTGGGCTGTACCCACTCAGGCCCCTCCCTGACAACACCCATCATTCAGACCTAAATGTCAATCAAAACACCAACTGTACTGTATAATAAACAGGTACAGCCTTCTCGTTGAAATTGTAGTTTTTTTAATGTAATGTAGGACCTACAAACACTTGTCTTTTTCTTTTATCCGCGACCCCCCCGTGTAAGGCTTCGCGACCCCCCTGGGGGTCACGACCCACAGGTTGAAAAACACTGTTCTAAAGTATAATTTGTTTTTTATATTTTGCAATATATTTATTTTGTTTGTACAAAATAAAGAAATAATTTTTAACAATACAATAGCCACGATTATTATTATAAAAATTTTCGTTACGCTTAACATCGACAAAAATACAAAGCAAAGCGACATGCAACGAAGAAAAATTTAAACATGGGATATTGTATATCCCAATAATAGTATATTAATAATATACTATATTAATAATGTATTTTTCGTACATAATCAGTTATCTGAAAAATCAATTTTCCGAACAACCCCAGTCCCTAATTGTTTCTGATAAAATCAACACTTTAAATTTATTGATTTATAATACAGTAAAGAGAATATTAGTTTAATCTTTGTAATTATAGAAATGTTCTCCAGAAATATTCTAATTGGTTGAATTAGGATTCAAATCTATCATGCTAACCAAAATTTCAGGCATTAGAAAATATTAGACATTGATATCATTTGAAGTGTAAATCGTGATTCTTATCAATAATACAAAGTCTTACCTCACTCTTATAAACTTATCCTGTAATAATAATAAAAGAAATACAATTTACTACATTTACACATTATGTTGACTTAATCTGACTAGATGAAATTTGTGGAAAAATTTATATCTGTGCATTAACAGCTGAAATACCTAATATTGTGGATGTATTTATTTTAATAGTATGCATGTTGATCAGCTACATTGTTAATAGAATACATTTCATTTAGAGCCAAAATGTGTGACACATAGTAACTTAGATTTAAGTCATTCCATAGATATATGGTTTATGTATTGGGGTTTATACAAAGTGTCTTTTAGTCAAGCAAATCTGCTACTAGAATTGGTCCATTTTTACCAACCCGTTTTTGGTTATGTACTTAATATTAAGCTCTTGTCCTACATTATAGGATTATCTTGTAATGCAAGATCTTATTTTGTAATAATTCTCCTACTTCATGGTATTTCTTTGCATATCATTAATTATTGTTTATTTTCTTTTCAGAAAATACATTTGAATACACTGACAATAAAAGTTTAGAATTATGTAACAAGCAATCCATATAAAATAGCTAAGACTAATTAAATCTAGTGTTTTTTTAATACTTGAAACAGTTGAAACATTTTACAAAAATCTCAAACAACATTGATCAGTATGCTGAAAGGTCTTAATTATTAATCAAGTAACTAATACCTTATTTGTTGCCAAGGGAGTTTATTAAAAACTAATGTTTTTGATCTACTCCATAGATCATCTTCAGGTTGAAACATTCGAATTTGGAATAACAAAGAATAAAACAAATTCAAATTTAAAGTTAGATAAATACCGACAAAGTAGCAACTAATTAAAATAAAAATTAAAGCGTGAAAATACATAATTGTATGTTATTTATTTTTACATTTATATATTTTCACGCTTTAATTTTTATTTTAATTAGTTGCTACTTTGTCGGTATTTATCTACCTTTAAATTTGAATTTGGTTTATTCTTTGTTATTCCAAATTCGAATGTTTCAACCTGAAGATGATCTATGGAGTAGATAGAAAACATTAGTTTTTAATAAACTCCCTTGGCAACGAATAAGATGTTAGTTACTTGATTGATTATTTTGCTGAGTACGTTTCTGTTCAGTCTTAATTATTACTAAGAGCAGTGATTAGTAATTACTTATTGCTAAACATGACCATTATTTCTATATTGTAAATAAGCTATCAAATTATTAAAAAAAGTCAAAAAATTTCAGAAAATACAAAAAGAAAATACCTGCTTAAATTGTTCTGCTACATACTTTTAAAAAAATCAAAGTGGCCATTTTGGAATTTGAAAACTTTTCTTAATTTATAAAAATCAAAATACAAGTAGCCCTCATACAACACAGTTTCACTCTAACACAGTTTAAGAATTGGAGACATCTCTATACAAAATATCACAATTTTAAAAAAGAATATTTAATGACTGCATTTATTTAAGCAAGTATGCATGCATGCATGTTGTCTCATTTACCCATGAATTTTAGAATATTGAGATTTTAAGATGTTTTGTGCATTTTGCCCAGTTATCTTGAATGAGAACTAATGTACAATTTTTCTCCTCATCCTAGTTTCCTATTCTAGCTTTCCTGTAAACCAGGTGTCACTATCGGTGACAGTCTTTCAGGTTTATTTAGAGCACTGTCACTGTGTTTTGTTTTTATAGATTAAATTAAAAGTTAATGCATAATAAGATTAAATTTTTAAAAGATCTCTAAGACATGTGAATGCAAGTGAAAATATCAAAGTTTATAAAAAAGAAAAATTAAGATGTTGCCAATGCTTCAAAGTAAAGTCAACAGAAAAGCTTAAAAGATGATATTTTGGCAAAAAGAAAAAAAGGTTCACATTTAATGGAATTTAGTAGTGAAGAAAAAATATTAAACAGGCAATACTTTTGAGATTATTAAAGCAATCAATTAACAAACATTTTTCTTAATTACAAACAAAAATACTATATATTTTTTTAAATTTAAAGAAATAAAGACAACTCCTGGGTAATGTTCTCTTCATGTATGCCTTTAAAAATATACTTTTGCTAAAGTACTAGTATATTTTACAAAGGACTAGTATAAAATAGGGTTACTTTCAAAAAGTAACCCTATTTTATACTAGTCCTTTGTTTCATTTAGCATGAATTTGCATAACACTGCACTTGGAACCTAACTACTGTTTATTTGGAGGATCTATCTATTTGTATTAACTATGTTCTGAGAGCAGTGTTTCCTATAAATGTTTCATATACACACTTATGATTAAAATCATTTGCAAAAATATTTAAAAATACAGCTTGTTTTGTACACTGTACATTTTAAATTTTAAAATTAAATAATCAGTAAGAAAACTTGAAAACATTTAGACCTGTATAGCTTTCTATTTTAAAAATTTATTTTAAAATGAAAATTTAATATTTAAAACAATTATAAATTTACAGATCTTGTTATTTCTGTAAATGACTATTGCATAATTTATTTCACACTTAAAATATTTCTGGAAAATAAAATAAAAAAACCAAACAAATACTGAACTTACAAACTGAAAATCAATAATTTGACTTTAGACAATTTCATTTGAAGAAAAAAATAATTCACAAATCAACAAAACTCATCATTCAATTTTTTAAATGAAATTAGCTTCAAAATAACTTCTCCTGGAGAGTAAAATATTGAAATTAAATGTTTTGAGATCTTAAAACAATCCATCATTATCTGTGACTAGTTGTCATTTTGTCTTTAACTAGCATTAATTTTCTTTTTTAATTATCTTAATGTTTTCAACTTACATTTTTTTGAACAAAATCTATATTACGATCTTGGTTTCCATCATTTTCATACGAATCTACAGCCTTCTTAATTCCATCCTTCAGTGCACTTCTAATGTTATTTCTGAAAGCATATCCAGCTACAGCAATACCAACTTCCATGAAGAAAACCACAATTAAGAAAATACTTAACTGAAATTATAAATTTTAAAATTTTAGAAGTAAACTTTTATATAAGTAGAAAATCAAAACAGTAAGAAATATAAGTAAGAAAATCAAAACAGTAATTCTGGAATATTGAAATATGAAAATTTAAATAGAAAAAATGCAAATAATTATGCTATTAAAAATAAATTTAAAAGCAATTTCTATAGGAATTGTTTTAATTTAACATTAGAATTGATAATTTTAAAATTATATTTTTAATACTCTTGAATATTTTGTATTTTAGAAATTCATTTTCTAATAAATAAAACAGTCTTTCAAAATATAGCAATACCCTATTCAGGGATAGAGCCAGGAGGGTATCCCATTTGTGGGAGGGTAACTCACATGGTTGATAACTTGCATAGACTTAGTTTAGGTGTTTAGGATAAAAGCACAATAGCCCATGATCATTAGCAATGCATTGTGCACAGAATTGCCATATTAATATGGCAGATCCTTTCATGTCATATGCAAGTGGAAACAAGTAATACGTATACAATATTCAATAAAAAAAACTATTAAACCCAATATATATCTAGCCCAATAGCATATAGCTTAATAAAAAGCAAAGTCTAAACAAATATTGAATTTTATTTTCTTTTCCTTGTTGCTGTTTATGTAGCATTTGAGTCTGATGCATCTGTTCTGTTCCATCTATGGTTGTGACATTCTTTCACATTTAGTTTTAAACTTGAGTGGGTGGCAGTAAGGCTCAGCAGAGAATCAACTTTTAAGAGTTATGGTAGCAAGGGCAGAATTCCCACACTATGTAGCTACATCCCTGCCTATTATCCAAATCCATGGTTCCCAATTAGTGATACACATACTCCTGGGAGTACGTTCACCACTAGTTGCATGAAGGGGTACGTGCGGCAATGTAAAATCAGTCAATTTATAATTAAATGCATGAGATGAAGCAAACAATCAAAAAAATGATGGGCGAACCATCAAAAATTCAGCAATTTACAACATGTCGTCAAATGCACATATTTGTTTATTTATAACTAAAATACTCTCGAAATTTAAAATCAAAAAAATGCATTTCTGACAATACCTAAATGAAATTTTTACACAAGAAACAAAAATTGTACAATTAACAAAATTTATGTTAATTGTACAAATTATCATTATCATGTCAGCAAAGCAGCAATAAAATATTTACTACCATTTTGCACAACATACCTTGCAAGAGCGGATTTTCAGCCATGACAAACATGAAAACTAAACATTGTCACCGACTTCAACTCTAAGATGACTTGAGACTGAAGATGACCAAAAAGCAACCAGATTTTACAACGTTGTGCAAAGAAAATTGTGCACATTTGTCACATTAAAATTAAATAACCTTATGTTATTTTCATCATTATTAGAATTGTAATAAATGTAAAAAAAACTTATTCTATCACTAGCTGTCTACCAACAGCTTCACCCAAATTATATCGAATTTTCTCGTGAGAGTAAGATATTTTCTCAGTAAAATGTAGCTTATGTCCATCTCTGTACCAAATTTTATTAAAACCTGTTCAGCGATTTAGACGTGAAAAGGTAACAAAATTACCTTCTAATTTATATTATTATAGATTAATATGAATTTCTGCTATAAGGGATATGTGAGTTGAGCTCTTTCTTGAAGTGGTACGCAGGAAAAACAAATTGGGAACCACTGATCCAAATTAACACATTTTGAAAACAATTCAAATGAATTGGTTTCATATGGGAAAAATTCTAACTCATTCTCAATTCATCCAAATAACCAAAATGAATTTTCCTAAATACTAAAACACTGCAAAACACTTCAGTGATCTATCAAAACACAATTTTAGCATGACATTAAGCATTAAGAACTCCAGTACCTTAGTAAGGTTAACATTTTGAGGTCATTAAAGGATATATTTGAAACAGTAATGCAATAAATAAATGTAATATCTTCTAATACAAATTTATATAATTAACTGCATTTTCTTTATGCAGCAACAGCAGCGGAAAATATTGTAATTATACATTTTGTAAATGTCATTTTATATTAAAATATTGCTGTGTAAAGAATAACAATGAAAATAAAAACAAGGTAGTGTGAGAATCCAGATTTAGGGTGGGATCATTTTTAGAGAAATTAGAAAAGAGAATGATTTAAATTCAATTAGAAATCAATATTTTGTAACTGAAATTTTTGAATCAACGGATGTAAAAACTTTCGATTTTGATAGGAAGTTCATTTCCTTTCTCCTATGACTAGTGAGGTGAATCAGAAAATGGCTGTACACAAGACTTGGCCGGCTGTAGGATGTCGACTCACATAAAAGGGACATTTTCCCACCATTCTGGGTAGTCCATCGAGGAGGTTACCATACAGACTTTACACAGTCCATAGAAAGATTGTAGAACTACCTGTATCATATGGTAAAGTCCAGAAAACGGAGTTTGCCATAATATTCAATAAGTTCTCCATACAATGTAGAGCAGTTCTCCCTAAGAAGTAAATTGCCCTAGGAAGGCCGTTTGCCATACCAATCAGTGCATAGAAGACAGAATTTGTCATACGTTCTAATTAAATGCATCAAAAGAAGAAACTGTCATATAGTCCGATCATAGTGAAATAGAGAAATCATCGAAGGTACGTAATATTAAACATCTCCATGAAGCCAGTATAATATATTTAGATTCATGTGAACACTCTCTCACACATAGATTAAGTTAGATGGTTGAGTTCTCTCTCTCTCAAGATGGATTACAAATTATAAAATTGGAACGTTTTTTATTATAATGTTATTTTTATTGGTTTCATTAAATATTTTATTAATTTTAATATGGTCTCTTCAATGATTAAAATCCACGCCTATGTCCTCACCAATTACTTACGTCCCTCCAGCTCAAAATTCCTCATTTACACATGTTAATCTGCAAATTAAATTGATTAACTGGTGTCAGGAAAACAATCTCCAGGGGATCTTATGAACTCCTGGGCAATATCAACATCTTAGGAAGTCATCCATTGATGTTAGAGATCAGATCTCTCAATTCGTGCCGATTACGTGATACTCAGACGTAGTACTCCTGGCTTATCTCACAGTAGTAAACCTACTATAACAAACTGTTAGGTAAAATATTATAAGATGCACTAAAAAAGTCACCAAGCTGCACAACCATAGAACAACAGATTGTTACTGAAAAATGAAAAAAACAAGTGCTATGAATGCAGCTGCTCTCACTTCCCACTTACTACCACAAATGATGTGCTAGTACTGTAAGTATTTATGATAAGCTTAAAACATTTAATACTGGAATTATTCAATTTTGACACTGCAAAACATTCACTGTAGCTGGAATTCAGATACCAGGGTATGGCTGCATTAGCAAAGAATTATTCTTAATTTCTATAAAATTAAGAAGAAATAACTAGATTTTTAATTAGTACTATAAATTTAAAAGTAAAATAGTCAACAAAAAAAATTACCAAATATAGTAGTGTTGAATGTCCTTTTACTGTACAGAAACAAGCAAGGAAGCCAATAATTGTTATTAATATACCAATTCCAATAAAGGAAAAGGGAACACTGTTACTGTAATCCACTGAAAGTTTTAAGATCTGTGTCATGGTTATCTTCATCCATATTCCTGCTACCAAAAGAGCAATACCACTGACCTATAAAATAAATTTTATAAGTTAGATAACAAAACAAAGTTACCAAATATGTTCAACTACACTTAAACTAAGCTTTGACAATTGTGAAAATTTATCTTGCAAAATAAACTGTTGCATGACAAGAAAAAGTATTCCTAAACACACAAAAAAAAATCACAAATTCAGTGATCTTTCATTAAATTAAAATTATTTTTGGGTAAATCTCAAATTTTTCATTTCAAGAAAAGATAAAAACTGATATTACTTAGAAAACAAATAATCTTAAATACTAGATTTTATGAAAAAAGATTTTTAATAAGTAGTAATAATTAATAATTTTATTTTATCAACCAAATTCCACTCAATATTAATTGTATTTTAAGCTATTTTCTTAGTACAACTACCAACAGATAGAATTCTCTAGTTTATTTATTTGACAGTCCATTTATATTTTAAAAACAAATAATACTCAAAATAATGAAAAAAGTTAACTTTAAAGTGTAAATTTTAATTAGTTACATTAATAGTTTATAAGGTATAACCTTTATAATTTAATAATCTAATCTTTATTCATATTAACAGACATTCTTGTGTCCCTTCACATTTTTAAATGAAAAAGAAACAGGACACAACAATTAACACCTAAATGCTAATTCCAGCACTGAATGAACAAAAAATTTGTTCATTCAGTGCTGGATTTAGGTGTTAATTGTTGTGTTTAGTATATAGTTCCAGTTTACTTGTGCTAGTTTTTTGTCTGATAAATAACAGGCTTGATTAAATTTGTTTATAACATTTGATATTAATACTTTCCAAAATACATTAGAATATCTACTCATTAAATAATTTTAAAAATTTGATCTTGGAGATAATCTTTAGAAAAATTAAAAAAAAAATAAAAATAATTTCCCAGAATTTTGATAATTTAGAATAAAAATTCACTAAAATGCAATTATACTACTAATTATGATATATTTATTCAGAATAAGAATCCTTTCAGATATTTATTAAAATTTATGTCAGGATTTGAAGGTAAAATTTAGACATTTTAAAAAAGATGGTCAATAAAATCAACAATTACAGTTCAATCTTATAGGTAAATCAATATCACACCTTGTCATTATGTTATAAATGTTCAATCCCATGACCAAGAATGACTGGAGATTTTCTTTGAAGACTAATCAGGTATTTTCATTGAACTGTATATTTGCAATATGATTCTGTATATTTTCAGAGACAAAGACAAAGACAGTCAATTTTTGGACAAAGTTGTTTGATCTTGGTGTTCAAATGATCCAGTTGTTCACAGTAGAGTTCTTTTCAAGACAGTAATGTCGTGGAAAAACTGCTTCCAACCAACACCACCAAACAAATCATCACTTTCTGCACCATTAGCCCTTTGACATGTCCAACAGCTGGTTGACTGTTCACCATGAACACTAACACTTTGTAGATAAGACCAAGAGCTTTCACTGTGTTCAAAGTGAAAAAGCAACAGCATACAAATGCATTCTTTTAAATTTAAAAGTTCCATATTGTCACACATTGCTGATGTGTGTTTCAATGAAGTATGTGATGAAATGCTCTTTGGCTACTCTATTTACTGTACATACTCACATTGATTGAAATGTCTAAATTTCATCTTTACAGTCAACAATGTTGCATTAAGTGAAGCCTTACCATCTGACTATCAGATGTCTGTATGTTAGGTTTGAATAGTATATCACCTGTTATTACAAGTTTTAAGTCAAACCTTTACCACATTACTGTTTTTCAAACTTGTTTAGCTTTAAGTCATTGAAATTATGAATAGATATGCTTAGAGTACTACCAAACTGTTTGATAATTAAATTTAGTGATTCATGAATAGTTCAAGAATATATACAGGATAAATGGTAGTTATTAGCCACTTAAGGAAATTTTTATTTTAAAAAATCTGATGTAATAAAGATTAAATTGAGCAACACAAATCCAACAGTAATTTTATTATTATTGCCTTTTTACTGCAAACATTTAAAAATTACAGATGCCAATTGTTTAATCCAAATTGTGCCTTGTTTTACAAAAATTAAAAATTTATAATTATTAGCCACATGCAACTACAAACTTGTGGGAATGTTATGTTTCTGCTGTCAGTAGATAGCAAGTGTTAATATTGTCATGCAATATTTCATAAATAGCTTTTATAAAATGCTTATTAAAGAGGTTTAAATGGACAATTATTGTCTGGTAGCCCATAACTACTGTTTGCCCTAATTACAGATTATACTGAAATTTTTTTTATAAACACCAAGTTTTCTTATTTTTTTTAATATGAAAGATTATGTTGACTTACTAGATTTTACTAAAGCATTTACCTCATTCCTAAATTCCAGAATGATATCTATAGAGAAGAAACTAACAATTCAGCCTAGAGAAATATTTGCTTACTTGCATCATCCATTAGTAATAAATTTCACTTCTTAAGTATATTTCATTTGCTAAAATTGATCAACCAGGTAAACAATTAACTATTATATTAATGAAATAAAAATTTTATATAACAAGTCTATGCAAAATTTAGACAATTATATATGAAATTGTTTAGAATACAATGAGTATTAAAACTAATCTCCAAAAAGATAGCAGTTAAGTACTACTGTATTGTACAGTCCATCACACATCACATTTGACTTATGCACTAAATTCACTTGGGAAATGTGCTTTAAACAAGTAAACAAAACAAATTGTCTTATTTTCTCAGACAAATGCAAAGCTTTTAAATAAAATTTGAAAAATAAACACAGCATAATAGGAAACAATAGGAAAAATTACAAATGGATTAATTTTTCTTGAAAAAAAGACTTTACACTTGTCAAATTTGATGGTTAAAAATTTATGATGCTTTTTATCAGAATATTTGTTTTTAGAGAATACAGATTTAATTTGAAGTGCATATATTAGAACTAATTTAAAGAAAGTTTACCATATGATTAAAAAGTAGATTATTAAAAAGATAGAAGAACATTCAATCTAAAAAAGTATGATATATAAAATCAAGGATAATTATTCTAGAATTATTGTTTTACTTTTAATAAACTATCTCGCATTTCTTGTTATTTGATAATTTCTGTTAATCATTTCCGAGATAAATTATTGAAAAAGGCTCAAAAGAAAAAAATACAGATTGGCAATTTATTTGAAAAATCATATTTGAAAAATCACCTAATAATGCCAACATCTATACAAAAATAAGAGATTTTATAAAAACATACAATATTTCCTTTATTATCTATGAATATATTTCCTTTATTAACTACAAATGTATTTATTTCACCAGATTATTTATTCTTAGATAAGCTTTTTTATTTTATTTATTTAATACACTTTTTTTAGAATTATCTTCACACTGAAATGTTTCACAAATAAATGTGTGATAAAAGAATAAAATTGAAATATTATGAATTTTTCATACAAAAAGCTTTCCATACAAAGCAATTATGATAATCTATAGATTTAATAAGCACTTATAATTGAACTAATCATTTGCTAAATCCATTAAATCCACAAAAAAAAGTAGAGAAATTGATAACTTTTCAAAATTATATTTAAAATTAAAATAAACATTATAGAATGTATTACAGGCATAATTTATCTAATGACACACAAAAATCCTTGAAATAAATTTTTAATTTTGCATAACTAAGGGAGTTTATAATTGAGCTGTTCACAGGCCAAATCAAATTAACTTTTGAAAGTATAAATTATATTTATATTTATTTCATTTAGCATTTTGAATGACCATTAAAAAGACATTTTAATATCAAAATACACAACAATGTAAAAATTGAATATTTTACACAGTTCTACTCAACTAGAACCAGGTTTTTCTTTTTCTTCACAGCTTTTTTATAAACATGTAAACAGCTTTGTTTTGTAAGAAAATATTTAAAAAAACTAGACACTAACTACTCATTATTTTAGATGGCTTCTGAAGTCAGTAGTTATACTGTAAAATTGCATAAATGTCAACATTACTCTTATATTGTATGCAAATGAAACTGACAGTTTGAAAATTAAGCAATAATTTTTTTTTTTTTTTTGCATTTCGAAACAATTTATATCTTCAAAAATAAATTTCTCCATTTAAAATAAAACTTCCTACAGAAAGAATAAACTTCACTAACACACACAAATTGGTTGATTTTGAAAGTGTTTGAATGTCATTTTAATTTAAAGTTCAATTTAAGTCAAAGTGATATTAAAAATGAGAAAAAACACGTAAAAATTAATTTAAAACGAATAAAATATCATAAAAATAAGTTATTTTAATTGGTTTTTAATCTTCTAATTTAACTGTTAACATTTACACGTGAAAAACGATACCCGGGAATTATATTACGTCACACAATAAATGTTTCATATTATTTAAACTTAGAAATAAACCAGTAGTTTTAAGCATTACATAGTTTTATTTTTATATCGTAAGTAATAAAGTTGTATGCGGACATAAAATAGAAATAAGCCTAAATAAAATATTAATAGCTAAAATATGTTTACTTTAAAGTTACTACGTACCCAAAATAAACAATTAAATATAAGAAGCAATCCCTTCATACAGAAAACTGCTAGCCCTGTTTGCAATTGTTTTGCCATCTTTCTAATGAAATTCAACGGAAGAAAAACTTCAACCAAGCAAAGTGTCGACTAAAAGCGTAATTAAAGACTATAAACTCTTCCTTTTGACTTATAACGTCACAATGATTTACGCAAAATGTAGTATGACGTCATCGTTTCGTTTTAAAATGAAAATTAATCGTCATTGGTAAATGAAATTAATCCCGTAATTTTTCTTTTACGTAAATAAATAAATAAATTATAAAAATATGTAATAATTTAATAATGTATGAGTCAATTTTGCAGTAGTTTACGATAAAATTTTTTATCTGGCAACCTTAGTTCGTCTTGGCGGACGCGTTTCTATGTCAAACCAATGACGTTATTCGTTTCGTATGAAACGGTCTATGTCATTGGTTTGCTTACTTAGCTACTTGACAAGAAAACGTATCCGATGGCTGAAACTACGAAACCAATACAATAGTCTTTTTCAGGGCTGTGGAGTCGGAGTCATCAAAAAATCCGACTCCGACTCCTTTTTACTTACAAACTTGTTATGTATATAAAACAGAAAAGTATTGGAATCGTGTCAAATTTGATATTCCAAGTTTTTTTGCAAATCTACACGTTTGGAGACCTCCCGAACCCCCCAAAAAGTCAATAAAAGCAGAAAAATTCGCATGCATGTGTGCGTTGGCGTCTAATTTGTTTAATTTCTTTATTTTCTGTTCTGAGATATTAAACAATATCTCAGAATGGGTAAAGTTTAAGAAACGAAATGTGGCACTGTGGCTCGCGTATAAAGGGGCATTAATACTATTAAATTTTGGCTCTTAATTAAAGGTCGACAGTGTGAAGACATAAAAGGGATCATGTGTCATATCTCTTAATGAATATTTTACTCGTTATTAGCGTTCAAAATTTAAAAAAATAAAATAAAACTTGTCTCTACCCTCAAAGTAAGCTTTTTTTTGTCATTTTATAATAATACAGGAAAACCGTTAAGATGTTCTCGCCTAAGATGTTAGAATGTGTATGGAGACATGATTTAATTCAACCACTTTGACGCTTAATAACTAACTCCTGTGTTAAATCATCTGACTCCGATTCTGACCACTCTGACCACAGAAATTATTAGGTTTCAAACAGGATGAACAAAATCATGTCACCATACACAGTCTAACATCCACACATATAGAAAAAAAAAAAAAAAAACTCGAATCTTTCGCATGTCTCGAAATTTCAAGGTGTCCCGAGTCCAAAAATGTAAAAATTTGGGAGGGGTCATTTTTTGACCGAGCTATACTTTCCTTCTGTTATATATAACAGCCGGAAAAGTAAAAATTATCGAATACATATTTATATATTACTTAGAGGAGTCTTTTAGCTTTGGAATAAAAAGTTTCTACGCTCTATCTTTATTAAAACTCTATTTATTGAATCTTTTATTCTGAGGTCACGTGATGACATCAGAATTTCCGGGTCTCTTTCGGTAACAAATCCGCCCCTGGTCGGAGTCGGATGGTAAGGAAAAGGGCTGTTTCACACTATGACCGACTGGACCGACTGGTCCGACGCGACCGATTTTATAATCGGACCGACTAGTAGTAAAAGCGGAGTCGGAGTCGGATTCGGTAGATTTTTACGCGACTCCATAGCCCTGGTCTTTTTCAAATGAAACAGATTATGCTATTAGTTTACAATTAAAAACACCACGATAACTTTAGTTTTATCAGTGTCGAATGTTCAATAAGCCATTTTAATTCAAATTCGACTTATGTTTTTATAATTTTGTACGAATAGTTCAAGATTGCATAAATCGACATTGAAATTTTTTTAGTTTCGATTCATTGCAAAACATATCTCACTATTTGAACTTTCATGAACATATTTTAAAACTTTTTTGAGAAATAACGTGTGTTAAACTCTCCAAATTAACCGGAAGAAAACAGATTTTGATTCGACCTCTAGACAGAAAAAGCTAATATTTTGGAAATTTTTAAATATTTATGCCCAAATAAACAGAAACAGCTATTCATATTTTCATCAAATGCTGTTATTTACGTTTTTATTTTTCGAATTACAGTATATATTTTGCATTTCTTCCTGTCCTAAAAGCCATGCGTTTTACACTTATTTCACTTTTTCTTTGCCATTACAAAATCTTATTGAATTTAAGTGTAAGCGATTGGAAATGTCAAGATACAGAAGGCTATTAAAATGGTGTTAAATTGCTGTTCCTGTTTGCAATTGCTTTGCCATGTTCTAATCAAATTCAACAGAAGAAAAACTTCAACGGTTTATTAATACAAAGAATCTTTAAAGATATTGCATTCGTACATAATATTTTTACTTTTCGTATCTGTTAATAGTTCTGAACAGTCATGAAAACATCTGAACAGTTGTTTCGTTTTCATTTTTTATTTCTTCCTGTTGCAATGTTTATACAGCTGATTTAATTACGAACACGCAAGTAAAAATTTCTCCTTAGTAGACTAATAGGAAAAATGAAAAAGTAAATTAAATGTAATAAAAATATCTCTCCTTTTGCAAAAATGAGAGAATTGAAAAAAATAACTTCATAAATTGAGGATTTTAATTGACTTCCATTTGGAATAGGCCTATGAATGCACTGTACATATTCTATTATAGTATTAGTAGGTATTGTAGTGAAATATATTGTAATAAGAGTAATATAATATTTATCAGTGTTTCTCGATCCCTTTAGGTCGCGAAATATTGTACAACGTAAAATTTTTCTGACACATTTCATGTACAAAATTTAAAATATATTAATATATACCAGGCCCGTAGCTAAAATGAGATAAGCGTTTGCAGGTATGGTACCTACATACACGGTACACCACCTGTCCTCACACGAATACGCTTTTAGTAATCTGTGGGTCACTCGCTATGGTGCGTGCCACAGATTACAAGAACCGGTAAAACACGGCACGCCATATTCTATTGGCCCTATTTTATTCTGTGTTGGCTTCAAAAACCATCGATAGCTTCGTGCAATCATCAGTGATGAATCAATGGTTAAGTCTGACTACAGACTACCATTTTGCTTTTTTTTTTCACTCTTTCTGCCCTGTAGGCACTAAGAGATCATTTTTAGCAAGCCCATTACAGGTTCAGCAGGTTTATAATGGGGCGGGCCCGACATATCCTGAAGAACCGCTCCTGAAAAGTCCCTGGGAGTTTTCGACCCATTCGAATTCGATCCCGTGTCCCGCAGAATATAGGCTGTCTCTATCTAGCCGTCAACTTGAAATTATTATAACTACGCTACTTTCAGTTATATACTAGGTACTTCAGTTATACTCTTTCAGTTGTAGATATTTTAGCTGTTCACGATTTAAGGTTTAACGGCTGAACATATTACGATCTTCCGATATGTGAAAAAATCAAAATTTTATTTTAATTTTATAGAACAAATATTTTTATAAATATAAGTCACACAGAAATCACTTGATTTTTATAAACTGTTAATAGTGTATATTTGTCTATTTATGCTTTTTATCTAAAATGAAATATTAAATAAAATTTTGAGAAAAACGAAGAGTCTATATATATAGATAAATTTATTTTCTGTCAATATACATTTTGATACTATATATATACTGTATTAATAATTTGATAAGATATATTTTGTCACAGAACGAATAGATAAACAGATTATATATCACTAATTATTATATTAGTATTAGAATTCTTAAACCTGAATTAAAATGAACTTTTCTGAATCATCTGCATATTACATTTATAATTTAATAAATGTAGTATGCAAATGATTTAGAAATACGTCTCACTTTTATTTTAAATTTTAATCTATACTTTAAAAATACAAAACCAATTTTTCTATAAAATTTCATTTATTATTCTAATAATAATAGCCATTGTTATTCCGCTGTCTCAACTTGTTATATGCATGAAAAGTTCTCATTAAGTTGATGTTTTCATAGTTTATCTTGTGACCAATCAAAATATAAAGCAAAATATCAATGTTGTTCTTTTTCTTGTTTTGCAGTGGTCGAGATTATATCAAATTAAATAAACACTTATTTATCAGTTGGTTATTCTTGCTCTCTGGCCTTTCTAATTATACCCATTTTGATGGCCGGATGGCCGAGTGGTCAAGGTGACAGCTCAACGCTCTGAGGGACCCGGGATCGAGTCCGGACGGACCGGGATGGTCCGTCCGGATATGTCGGGCCCCGTCCTTCACCACTCGGCCGCCCCATTGTGGGCCTGGCCGAACCCATAATGAGCTAGCTAAAAGAGGCCTTCTTAGTGCCCACAGGGCGAAAAGGGTTTAAAAAAATAATACCCATTGTAGGTTCGGCCACATTCATAGTGGGGCGGCCCAGTTGAGGAAATCCAGACTGTGAATCTGGTAAACAAGAATAGAAAATCTCTTAAG